TCTATCTATCTATATATCCATCTATCTATCTATCTATCTATCTATCTATCTATCTATCTCTCTCTCTCTCTCTCTTTCTTTCTCTCTCTCTCTCTGTATATATCACAAACATAGTAAATAAATTGATTTATAGATAGATAAACAGACGTATTTTATTGCTTCGTACTGATATTGCCTTTCACAAAACCTGCACTTTTTCCACGGATTCCTCACAGCGAACGTAGGAGCAGCAGTCTCAGGAATTGTATTCTTCGGAATTTTCGTCCCTCACATGATCTTTAGGGACGATTACAACGACATGAGCCACACGACCAAGATGGTGATAAGCCTTGACCTCAACATGGCGATGGCATTAGCCAGTGATGCTTTAGGGGACTACGAGGGAACAGGTCAGTGTCTTGAATGCCGTGTTGTCAACTTTATCAACATTTGTGCTGCATCGTGGGGAAATCAGACGCTCGTTGAAATAATGAAGTTTAAGAAACCGACATTAATATTTTCTGCTCGGAGGCTAAGGTGATTTTTTTGGATACTTTTTTATGCTCAGCTCCTTTAAAGCCAATTTAAAAACACATTCTTTAGTGGATTATACTGGAAAATATTGATCAAAGGTGCAAAAAATAAATTTGCAGTTTCTACGTATACCCAGTCTATGGAAGTCACCACGCTTTGGGTGTTATTTTCTCGCTAATATTACTTCTGAAACCAGGTGACTCAACCCCTTTTGGTCTAAAATAATCATCTAGATTTCTATTCAAGAAAGATGAACATTACTTTATATAAACGCAAGGCAATAGAACAGGCTTTAATTTCATACTAATAACTCCGTGCCCCCCCCCCCCAATAAAAAAATACCCACAAAATTGACGAGCGCCTAATTCCACCGGTCGTGACACATTTTATGCTTTTTTTTCATATTACCCCAGCACCCATAGAACACTATACATTCAATTTGCCCGTGTTGTATTAATACAATCACTAAAGATAGTAAACATAAAATAGAAGCAACAGAAATGTGGTTTCTTAGGAGACTGCTGAGAATATCCAGGAAGGAAAAGTTATCAAATGAGGTAGTGCTTGATGATGCCCACTTGGGACTCACACTATTAAAAACAATCAAGAAATGAGAAATGCCGTTTTGGGGACACCTGAATAGAAATAAAGGTCCTGAATATCTAGCTCTCATTTGCAAAATTGAAGGCAAACGAGGCTGGGGTAGACCCAGAGCAACCTATTTAGGGAACCTAAACAAATGCTAATGGGGAAAGATCAGGGAAACGTAGCTTTTTTAAGAGCATCCGAGCAAAGGAAGGAATGTAGAACCATGATCCCGATGTTTGCCGCAGATCTGGCTCTGGATAATGATGATGATAATACTATGTATACCACTAGCTTCACTTATTCTACCCGTATCTTTTTTTTTTCGACTGAACCAATACATTTTTTCAGAATTTATTCTAAAATGAGTTTCGAATAATTGTAAACAAAATGTTCGCTGATTCTTCAAGAAGACTTGAGCCAGTCTGATAAGTCTCAAAATGCCAGAATATTAACAGAGACGGCGAAAAAAATAATATACGTGTATAAAGAAAATATACAATAATGCACTATGTTTCATTTTTTCTTCACAAGAAATGTTGTCTTCAATTTCTGTTTATCATGGTGATACATTCTAATAATAGATATTCAATCAGCAAACTGACTTGAAAGTTCTAATGACAACAGGAATTGTTACTCTCTCTCTCTCTCTCTCTCTCTCTCTCTCTCTCTCTCTCTCTCTCTCTCTCTCTCTCGCTCTCTCTCTCTTTCTCTCTCTCTCTC